GCATATATATGCACATATATCTTTTAATATCGTGGTCACATACTTCATTTTCCTCCAAATCATCAGTGTCCAGAATACACAATGAAAAACTAATAAATATTCCTTTTCATCTCTTTTATCAATGTTAATCTCAAACGCCACTGATCTTTTGGGAATCAAGAACAATAGTTTAATGTAAAGTCTGGAGGAAATATTTAATTATAAAGCCTTGTGACTTCTCTTTCTCTTCTCTCCTGTTCCCTTCCCCTTTTCCTTCAGCTCTTGCCTCAGACCCATTTCACCTCCTCTCAGGTCCTCTGTTTTCTCCACTCTGATGGACCGCTCAGCTGTTGTGCTACCCAAAGCGTGACAGCACGAGTCTTCACACACCGAAACAAAACCATGGCTGAGGGAGACCCTCCCTTACAGACAGCTCCCTCGGCCAGCGTGACTTTCAGCTGCCAAAACAGTGTGCACGCAGGGAAAGGGGTGGAAACACACAGCTGAGGACGATGTCAGAACAGGACCTGGGAAACCCTGGCCGAGACTGGCTTAAGATGCCGTTGAACCACACTGTGAGTGACAGAGGAACTTGCCCTTCCATGGCATGGGACCGTGCCATTAACCCATGCAAAAAGGGAACAGAAACACGCTCTTAACGCTGGGGATAGTAGGCTCCATCCACACCAAAACTTTGTAAACCTTGCTCAAATGTCTCCGTCCTTCTGTCTCAACACTGACAGTGGCTAGCATAACAGAACGGAGGTAACATGAAACAATTCATTACAACTTGTAAACAAGTTTCTATAGGCTTTTTGTTTGTTTTTCCTTAAATGAGGCTTAAATGTTTTACAAAGTTCTCATGCATTCATTAGCCTGCACAGTTGCCCTCAATGGGGATTCCCCTGGCTATACTCACACTCGGAGACTGGCACGCAGCAACTCAGGCTAAGCACAAAGAGAAGCACAGGACGAATCTACGAGGTCCTTTGTAGCAATAAGCACTTTCACCTCCTATCCAATGCTTAAGAACTACATATCATCTTTTTCAGATTATCTTAATAATGAATAGTGTTCTTGTTTTGCATGATGCAGCTCTCTTAAACCTCTACTATGTTACAGCTGCATGAGCATACACAAGGAAGTCTGCTAAAAAATTTCTGTATCAACTCCTACCAGCTAAGCACAGGGTCCACTATGCACTGAGCATAAACAGTAAATAAAAGGACATACACAGACTTCGAGAACGCAGAACAGAACTGTCATTAAGCATATGTCAAAATATATATACATATGGGTGAACATACATAAACGTGAATAGTCGCACAACCCACATATCTCCACTAGATTCTGCAAAATAGCATAGAATAATGTCCAGATATAGAGACGATGAATGGGTGCTGCACTTATTTGTCAATAAGTGGAGCTGTGGAAGGCAGGAATTAAAGGTGTGAATTCGTAACAAGAAGAACAAAGGCAAAGAGAAATTCCAGCTGGAAACAGTGTGGCACTGCTCCGCTGACCTAAGCAGAAAAGGGAACAAGTTGTAAATTACTGGAAAAGGGAGTTTTGTAACAGGAAGCTATATTATATAAGCACTAGTGGTCTTTCCACACCATACAGAGCTTAAAGTATGAATATACATTAGATTTAAATATAGATATCCATGCAACACATTAGGAAAATTCCTTTACATATAGTTATTTACACAAATATACACATGATCATATAAAGAGCTGTACAAATACATGTATCACTAAGGTGGATACTCTATTGATTCTCATATTAACATTTGCATATGTGTATATCACGCTTCCAAACCTTTAACGATTTTTTTCCTCTGTCCACTTCTTTAAAACTCACAAAAGTACTTACTGTGATGAAACTCACTTTTAAAACTGCAGAGACTGCTGCGTGCCTAAGTGAGCCATTACTTTCTGGCTCATAATCATCTTTTCTGTGTCTGTGAGAATCACTGATGCGTTAATTGCTTATCAAAATTTGAAACAGTTCATGAGTCACTCTGAAGATAAAATAAATAAATATTAATGAGCCAATTTCAAGAGAATTCATGTCCTCTGCCTCTTAAAGCTGAAACACTGTCTTTATTACATGTCAGAATTAGGTCTTGATACCTAATGTATGGGCAAATATGAAATATACTCAAGCCATACTCAGCAAATCAGAACTGACTGACTAGATCATCATGTTTCAAGGGATCAATTCATCATAGTCTTATCTGACCAAACTATAGATCAAAGAGAGAAAGGACTGGTCAATTATAACACAGAGATTAAGTGAAAGGTATATCTAAATGCATAGGTCTGATGCAGATTGAGTGGAGAGAACTTTTCTGGAGAGGGACTTTTTACAAGGGCATGCAGTGACAGGACGAGGGGCAATGGCTTTAAGCTGAAAGAGCGTAGATTTAGATCAGATATAAGGAAGAAATGATTCACTCTGAGGGTGGTGAAGCACTGGAATAGGTTGCCCAGAGAAGTTGTGGATGCCTCATCCCCGAAAGTGTTCAAGGCTTTCAGTGATGAGACTTTGAGCAACATAATGTAGTGGAAGGTGTCCCTGCCCACAGCAGGGGCGTTGGAACTAGATGATCTTTAAGGTCCTTTCCAACTCTAACCATTTTATGATTCTAAGATTCTATGAAAAATGAAATATTTAGTTCTTCAAGTTTGGAAGTGATTCTATCTGAGAAGAGAACACAACAGAAGTAAACACTTGATCTTCAAACAAACACATTGGCATAAAATATCATGACATAAGAAATTTTAGTATTCCTTACATCGTATGAGGGAAGGGCAGAAGGAAGGCGTAGAGTTTTCGGGAACATCAAAATAAAGTCTTTTATTTTGGATCAATGTGAAATTTTCATTAAGCCAAAACACTGGGTGAAGGGCTCTTCACCCATTTACTTTTGTACTAAAATCGAGTGAAATATACTATTCTGGAGAGTAAAAACTTTCATTTTGAAAACATGAGTGTGCTGAGAGTCTTTTAAGTCTGGGCCAATGACGGTTCACTGATTAAAATCCAAGTGTAAAACTTTTCAAACTAAATGACCCAGGATGAAATAGGTAACAGAAGTCCTTCCCTCAATCCTTTATTTTCTTATTCTAGCTTATTCCTGAAAATTGTAGGCAAAAGAGTTCCCTCAAAAATCTGAGGAGGAACAGGGAATATCTCTAAAAGGCAACTGTAGCTCTGAAACATATTAGGAATTAGACACTAGTAAGCCACTTTTGAACCAAACTGTTAGTGAAAAACCTTTTTTTAAAAAATCATAGAATGAATCATAGAATCATAGAATGGCATAGGCTGGAAGGGACCTCAGAGATCATCTAATCCAACCTCCCTGTCATGGGCAGGGACGCCTCTCAACTAGATCAGATATATCCATTTTTCTCAAGGAGGTGCAGCTGCAGCAGATTCTGGCTAATGTAGCTGGCTGGTATAACGCAGATAAAATGGGAAATTCATAGAAATGGGTAATTTCCCTGTTAATCACTGACTACAAGCAGGATGAAAAACCCATTTCAATAGACTGTGGGTTTTAGCAAGAAATGAAAAAATGAAGAATCCTCTATTTATTATATTAAGTCAAGTTGCTTATTGTCAGAGGTCATATCAGCTGCTCTGCAGAAGACGCTGCTTCAACTTCAGCTAGTCACGTAAAGAGGCAGGCTGTGGTAGTCCTAGAAATATTACTGCACCTCAGCTGATGCCACACCCCAGTGACACCCTGGCACTCTGTTTAGACCTGTGTATACTGTAAAACTAAAGGCATCTCCCCAGATCAAGATATTCAATCCATCATTAAACACAGAATATGACACTGACAATGAAATCTGTATGTGAGAATGCAGGAAAAAATACAATTACAAAACATATTCTGGATTAAATATAACATAGGAAGAATTTAAATTTTGCTACTTACATAACCTGCATAAATTTGTAGATATACTAGCTTACTAGCTTTCCTTCTAATGTGTAGCTAGGTAACATGTATTTTCCCTAACAGTATCTTAACATTCTTCACTTCATGCATTCACAGCTAACATAGCTCTCATATAACTTCCTTTTTCTCTTATGTATATGTAAGGAAGGACTTAGCTCACGTTACAAATGAACTGTGCTACCTTCTCTGAAACCTACAAAATTATGCAAATAATATATGCAAAGTCATAGGCTCTTTAAGACAGGTCATTGGTATCTAAGAGAAAGATTGTTTAAATTTATTGTTATATGCATATAAGATAATAATGAAGCGATTAAACAATTTTCTTAAGTTCATGAAAAATATTTTTTGTGTTGACAAAAATTATTCTCAGTATGTTGTATAATAAGTTTCCAATCTGCAAACAAACATTATTGCTGAGATTTAACACTCTCATTTACACAAATGCTAGGGTATTATTCTATTTTTATAGAATATTTGTGGAATTAGTTTTTCACTAGATAATTTGCGTTCCTGTCATTAATATTTTAAGCTTCCAAACTTAACAACACATTGCATTGCTCACTCTTGTTCAGCAGAACTTAACAGTCACAGTTGTAAAGTTAAACCTAAAGCTACTCAGTGCATCTACTGAAAGCATTAACTTCTAAATAAAAAGGGTGAAAGAATAGAATTTTCCATTGGATTGTGCAACAAAAATTTTCACTCGGCAAAATTTTTGAAAAAAGCTGTGGTTTCACGGGAAATGGGAAAAGATAAATTCCACGCAATAATTCTTTTCATTTTGAAAAGTCTTTACTGTAAATGCTGCCGAAATGTTGAATCTCCACTTGATATTAAACTTGTGAACAGAATATGGGAAATTAGTAGGTCATGTGCATGATTAAAATAAAAACTGGCAGTGCTGGAAAAATGCATCGTCAAATAAAGCTGAACTCGGACACAAATGTGTTCATCACCATATAAATGGCCAAAGAAGCAACAGTTATCAGTGTTACTTTTCTTAGTGTCATGTTTGAACCAAGTGTGGATAAAAACAGCTCCTTACCTGCTCAGACAATTCTGGCCCACTGACACGAGCCTGTAGGAGAGCATCATTAACAAGTGAATGAAAGTTGAGAAGCACATGCTCAATGTCGTATGTTCCACTCATGGCACTCGAGAGCTCCTCCAGGGACTGGATATATCCCCGCCAATGAAGATCAACTTCTGCCACGTTAGCCAAGCAGCCCCGGATGACATTGAGGCAGTAGCCCATGCAGGGCTTACTTAAAGTCAGCCCTTGGCAATGAGGGCAGTACTGCATTCTCAGTAAAGCTCTGCTGCAGTCTTTAGAGAAATGCAGATGATCTGTCGTATTGATCACTTCAATCCCCAGATTCAGAGCCTGCAAGAAAGTCCGGCTGGGTAACAGTGATCTTCCCATCTGTCCTACGGCCTTTTTGGGAACGTTACCAAAGGGCCTGATGTCCCTTCTCGCCATTCGGAGACACTCTGCGTATTCCAGCGAAATGTCAGTCAGACCAGGGTTAATCACGTGGTTGTAGACTACTGGGAACAGGGTGTCAAAAAATCTGTTGACGAATTCCTCTGTGCTAATGTCTGTGCCAAATACGAAGAGTCCAACATCTGTGAAAAACTCCTGAACACGTGTAGTAGCCTCAGCAGCCATGTTTCTATACGCATCGCAGAAAAGTGTGCTTGTGTAATTCTCAGCCAGTCTGATAAGCATTTCAAAGGTTTCTGTAACAACAAGAAAAGATCATTATTTTTATTTAAAAAGAAAGAACTGGCTATCACATCTTTAATATATATCTATGCATAAGAACAAATGTCTTACATTCCGATAAAAAGCTCACTCAGGTCAGTGAAATGGCTGTCACTGACTTCAGTACCGGAGTTTGAAATTGCACTTTGTGAAAAGACCACAGAGAAGACACATTAAACTAATCTGCTTATACTTTCTATGCATTCTTTGTTTTTCTCTGGTAAAAACGAGATACATGCTTACAAATCAGACAGTACCTCTATTCCTCTGCTATCTATTACCTATTAACTCTGAGTTTCATATTTCACACTAACCTTAAGACTGACTTTGCTATCTCCCTCTTTTCCATTCCTCTGACATATACATAAAAAAGAATGTGTAGACTCCCACAGCAAAAAGTAGGAAAGTGCATCCTATTGATCGTTGGGTTTTTTTTCATTACTAAGGCACATACGTATGCGCACCTCTCCTCAAGTGAATTTCACTGTAATCATTCACACGTGCCGAATACCACCGTGATGCAGTGCACTGGGTTTGTGTGGCAGGGTTTTGGTGGCAGGGAAAGGGCTACAGGGGTGGCCCCTGTGAGGAGCTGCTGGAAGCTTCTTCCCTGGCTCAGAGTCAGACCCACATCTGGCCAGGGCTGAGCCCAGCAGCGCTCCTGCAAACAACACATTTAAGAAGGGAGAAAGGCGGGATCTGCGGCAGCCAGAGGGGGAAGGCGCCAGCGCTGGGCTGCACTCCCCACACCCTCCCCGTCCCCTGGCGGGGGGGGGCGGCCGCAGCTTGGAGCGCTCGGAAGCTCCCTGCTCCTGAAGCAGCTGCTGGATGGAGCTTGTCCTGCCCGGGCTGCCAGGGTTTGTCGGGCTGACCAGGCCCATAGCAGCTGCAGCGGAGAAGAGTGAGATGTGAGAGAAACGGCCACACCGACACCGGATCACTGCGGATGGAGCGGGAGGAGGTGCCGGAGCCGGGATTGCCCCGCAGCCTGCGGTGAGATGGCAGTGGCCCCGCTGAGACATGAGAGACTCCGTGGAGAAGTCTGCGCCAGAGCAGGCGGCCGTGCCCAAAGGCTGTGACTCCGTGGGAAGCTCACGCTGGGGCAGTCTGTTGCTGAAGGACTGCACCTCGTGGGAAAGACTAACGTCAGAGAAGTTGGTGGGGAACTGTTTCCCATGGGAAAAGACCTCATGTTGGAGCAGGGGAAGAGTGTAAGGAGTCCTCCCCCTGTAGAGGAAGGAGTGGCAGAAACAACACGTGACAACCTGACCACAGCCCCCATTCCCCATCCTCCTGTGCTGCTGGAGGGGAGGAGGCAGAGCCGGGAAGAAGGGAGGGGTGGGAAGAAGGTGTTTTTAAGATCTGGCTTTGTTTCTTATTATCCTGTCTGATGTGACTGGTAATGAATTAAACTGATTTTTCCCCCAAGTCAAGTCCATTTTGCTCGTGACCATCATTGGTGAGTGATCCCTCCATGTCCTTGTCTCGACCCTTGAGCCTTCTGTTGTATTTTCTCCTCTCCATCCCACCAGGGGGAAAGGAGTGAGTCAGTGGCTACATGGTGGTTAGTTGCCAGCTGGGGCTAAACCACAACATTCAGCAAAGGGTTTGATTTCTTTCAGAAGCCAGACTCCTAAAGTCAGGACCCTGCATGGAGCTAGGCTCCCACCAACGGAGACCTATTCAATACAGCACAGTGGCTTCAGTTTATCCCATGAGTTCACACGCAGAAGTGTTGGCTGAGTAACTCTGTAGACCACAGATGCTTGCATCACCACCGGCTCTGTGACATCTCAACCTCAGCATCTTATGCCAGATCATACTTGAGACACCAACACCGCACCCCATGTTTGTAGGTGTGCGCCTGTGTATGGGAGACCCATATCCTTCTGGATACGGGGAGACCCATATCCATCTCATCCTCAGATGAGACACAACGTATCAGATAGGGCTTATTAGATTGATCAAGACGCCCACTTTAAGGCAACTGAACTCAGGATGAGATCTCCACCAGCTATAAAGGCAGTTTGGACATCTAGCTTACATAGAGGCACATATACATGGACAGCTAAATTACAGCCCTAAATATCCTACTGTACATTATGTCTCTTTTTTATCGGAGAGAACAAGGAATGCAAAGAAAGTACAATCCTACTATGGAGGCGTTACTTAGTTGCCTAAGAGGGTTTAGTACTATTTCCCATGGTAGATTCCGTTTATCTGTCCAGAAGGGCATGGGTATCCTGCAGGTCCTGTGTCACACTTGCAGGCTTTGTGTAGATGTTTTGCATGTAAAACGGTACTAAATGGCTGCCCCTAGACAACTGAACTAAATTCTAGATACCCAGTTATCACTGACTTAAGAACTCTTTATATAAAAGCTTGGAGAAGCCAGAATAACAAAGACAAAAAATTTAAGTCAAATTGATTCTTGGTTTAGATGGTTAAAATAATAAAGTGTGAAGAATACTAAAGCCTCCTAGGAAAATGGCTATTTTTGTACCTGCAGATTGATTCTTTCACACAAATTTTGCCAGTGCTTCAGATGAAATTTGTTAATGTAGGTAATGTTAGTAAAATAAAGATGTTATAATGCTCGCGTTAGAACGACATGAAAAAGGTTTTTATGATCCTTCTCCATTTTTTATTATTACTTTTTCCTAGACGAAAGCCATAAAGTATGTGACCTAAAATGTTTGTTACATTCCATGGCTGCGGTATCTTATTACCAAGAGCACAAATATTAGATGAAAGAATAAATCATGCTGCAAACGGATAATCAATAGATTTTACAATGTGGTATAAACAATAACAAACCTTCACGATTGAACTACATTGCTAGCACCCCAGCAACCCACAGATGAACGAGTACAATAATCAGCTGCATGATTGACTATTTGTGCTTTTCTAAAAAGCATATGATAATACTAGCCACTCGTGTTTATGACTCTGCATCAAGCTGTTTAATTGTCTTTCCAGGATTTCTTACAAAATTTGTTAATCATCAGGTTTATTCTACTGGCACGTTTCCTACTTTATAACCGCCAAAGCTACTCCAGAGATTTGTTTTGCTTTCAGACAGCTTGAAGAATGACAGACAGCAAAGCAGACCTATAATATTGAACGGCTCCTGTGAACACCTGATGATGACAATCTATGTCATTTACAACACTTTCAGAGACTTCGATGACAAATCAAGTTATGTTGGCTCAATACTGTAAGAGTACGATAGATTTCACAACATGGTTCTCTGTCTTTCAAGTCTAGGCGCCCAAGACTGACAACATCCATCTTAATTATTCAGCCACATAAAAGAAGCAATGAGTTTTCAATCAGTATAAATCCAATACATATAAAAGACATTTTAAATACAACCAGGATGAGCCAGACAAGCTTTTTTTTATTGTTATTAAATGATTTTTTAACCTGCAGGCTCAGTGCCTGTTATCTCCATTCTTTATGAGACCTTTGTAGTAACCACTATACAATATCCTACAGACACCTCCTGCAGCACTACTGTGAATAATGTCTTGCATTTACCATGGGTGACGTGTCAACTTTGTTTTCATTTGACTACACTTAAAATCATGATTTGTACACTCCTAAGTCAAAAATCAGGGTTGTCTATATTAACCCGTAATTTTTTTGAAAGCACAGTAATATCGCCCTGGTTTTGCTAAGAAGGAACAAAACACAAGGCTACAGAAAAAAAATGTAGGTGAGAACTTTTTTGGTTTTTGTATTGCATTTATTCAGTTGATCCTTCATATCAGTACATATTTTTGTTGAAAACAGTGTATTTAACAAAGTGATCACAAAGTGATGTAAAATAACTATTAGGTTGTTGCTTGAGAAGATTTGCAGTCTTTCATTCACTTCCTTTAACCTGTCTGTTCCTGAGAGCCATAGGTAGTTTTAAATTATAAAGACACCACAATGTATTAATCAGTCCAGTGGATCACTGGCTTTAAAAGGAGACAAAAAAATGTACATACGACTTGTTTACCAGAAAAAAGAGAACTCACAAAGAGAAGAAAAAGAAATCTTGGTTTTTTATTCCTGCACATAAATGAAATTTAATGGAAATACTGCATTGAATGAAACAGAATTTGGACTGGATTTTAAATCAGCCCTGCAATTCTCAAGTTTTGGCAAAGTGTCTTTCTACTACAGGTACCTTAGAAAATTAATTTAAAACAAATTTCCATGGAATCACATTGTTATAAAAGCAACTGCATTTTCTTAAGTTTCCCCTTTCTTCACACAGATGAATGTTCTATACAAGCTGCTAAATGAGAAAATGCATAGTTTAAATTGAGTATTAAGTTTTGATACATCTATAGTACTTAACACAAAGATGGTCTAATAAATTAAAAATCCAGTAGCAGTAGTGAGCCAGTAAGGTGTGAAACCTTTTAATTATTAATCACCAGCCTACATTACATATTATAAATTAATTCACACTTAGTCAGGGTAAGGTGTAGGACTTTATAATCAGATAGGCTAAAATCCATCCTTGAACTATGGACATAGTATTTAGCAAGAACACCTTTCACAGTCTGGAGGGGATTCGAAACTGATGAGTCTGGATTAACTTAAGTATCAGCCCATAACATACAGGAATCCAGATAACTAAATGCCAGCAAAAGCTGAAAAACCTAATAATATTATAAGACATGAAAAATCCTATGGGAAAGAATCAATCTGTTGCCAATTGCCACTCATGTTCAGTGATCTCATATATTTTCGTCCTGTGTATGGGCAGTGCAAATAATGCAGAAGCATCAAACTCTCTTCATGATTTATAATCCAATTAAGTGTATCTTGCATACATTGTCCTATTAGAGTCAAGGTGAACGTCTCAGGTACAGTTTATAGCCTAGCAAAAAGCATTCAAAACTTACGGAAAAGAGTAATTATGGAAAAGAAAGTAATCCATCCAGTGTTACATACATAGTCATAGAATGGTTTGGGT